ACACATCGTCGGCCTGTAAGTGGCCTACTGCCGAGCAAAGGCCTCTTCTTCGTAAACAAGCAAACACCGTCTACGATACAAAATCTAGGAACTACAATATTGTAAATCTTTAAATCTACCTAACATATAATTTAGGTTCACTAAACTTATAAGTAACTAACACTAATATACTAAGAACGACTTACAAACGGTGTTAAAGCAGTAATAAAATAAAATAAAACCTCTTTCAATTCACCGTTAATAGGCTCTAAGTATTACTTCCAATGCCAAAGTGAACTATAAAAAAAAATGCTGTATAACGTTCACATGTCAAAAAATCTCCAATCGATTTGAAACCTTAATTATTTTGCGCTTAAGTTGAAAATCTATTAAAGGAATTTGACAGTTCGGGATATCCTGAGCATGTGCGTTTGGCGCCCTTTTTTGTGATGACGTCATCAAAGTAAGGTTGTCACCGTTTGTATTCAGTTTCTCACCTTGGTATGAAAATGAAATCATTAATGGATACATGGAAATGGGTCGTTCTTGACTGGACTAACAAAAGGTCACTTAGTAAGGTATTCTTAGTGGCTGACACCATTTCATAGACAGGTTGACATTTTGTTCATACGTGATTGAATAGACTGGTACAATAATTATGGAATAGGAATTAAATACTGTTTGTGATATGCGTTGTCCTTGTCTTATACGTAAATATCCTTATATTAGCCATATTCGGATAAATTATCCTAAAAGTAAAAAAAAACGTTATATCTCAACCAATTTATTTTAAAAATCTCAGTAGGTCTGAAAATGTGCCCGGTATATGGCAATCAGCTCACCCCCTATTACATGGGACTCATAACATAAATAGTGAAAAGTGTGTGTTACATTGTACAGTGGCATTAAGTGCCGAAATGTGCACCTCTGCCTACCCCTTCGGGGATAAAAAGGCGTGATGTTATCTTATGTTATGTATAATATATTAAAAAAAGTACTATAATGTAATTAAAATATACATAGCTATTTTGTTATTACAGGTGCTTTTCCACAATATTTTCGAAATTATGAACTAACAGAACTATACAAAATTCAAACAGAACTTTCATAGATTCTAATTACAATCTAATGAACTGAACTAGATGAACTAACACTACTACTACTTTTCCCGATACATATAATTTCTAGTACACAACACAATATGTACTTTCCCAACAAAGTCATACCTTTGTCGAGCATTGATTATGAACTTTGGTACCTAGGTACACTATCTATGCCTAAGTTTGAACCTAGGTCTACAAACTTTGCTATCTTCGCATATTTCACGTGATATTCCAATTGGTTCGAATTTATTATAGAAAGATATCTATGTTTGGAAGTTTTCGTATTTCGTTTCGTATAAAGTTTTTTGATATGAGTAGTAACGTTTTTGTGCCATATTTAAAGATTTTAAATTATTACACGTACAGAAATATTTAGGAATCTTAACTTAGTTATTGAGTGTCCAGATCAAAACATGTGTATATTTGTGTATAGTAAAATGAAGATAAATAATAAATTAATATAAGGCATAAAAAATAAGTATCAATGTACTGCAAATGTCGATTTCAAAAAAAAACAACGTCGTAAAAACTGGAAACAAAGAAAACAAACACAAAAGCACAAACAATCAAAAGGCAAAGAGCAACTCATTGGACATGTTCACATGTCCTGCTTCCTACATCAGACTGTGTATATAAAAAGCGATCCTCCCAGCATGAGGTGCATTCAAATGTAGGAAATGGCCCACTGTGGTGCTAGAACCGATGAGCTAGCACCGTTAATTTATAGCTATGTTTACACCCAAGTTTCTCAAGTTTCCCGCAGACACACATCTACCCAACTTATCCTTTGATAAATACAACGTAAACTAAAGTATTAATTCTACTTTTATGTATGTTTAACAAGACTTCGCGACAAGCCTCGATAACGTGCACTTCTACAAAGAAGATACACTTTGAGCGACATTATTTTCATATCATAATAAAAGTAGCTTGACAAACAACGCACAAGAGAGTACTCGCACAAAGATGTTCTTTTGAAGAGCCCACATGTCGACGTGTGCGACGCACCTGTTTACTTTAACATGACGTCTGTCAAACATATAAAAGGTGCCTCTTCACGACGCACACAAAAAATGCTGTCGTCAAAGAACCTTTGACAAATTATCCTGTTAAGTTGACGAGTAAATATTCCTCCAGCGAACGCTCCCACTCTTATTGAGACGCTAGATTCGCTACTCTTTGAATTGTCAATTCGATAAGAAATAAAGACGTATCGCGGAATCAAGTGGCGAGCGTACTGCCACATTTAACATTATCGTCAGTTTTTAAGTGTCGCCGTATCCGACGTCGAGTGCCAAAGTTTTTAGCGTGTAATGCTTCCGATACATAAAACCATCCAATAATATTTGTGTTCGACGACGACACGAAAACATTTTGCTCTGAGGCGCCCCCTATCGGTCGGCCATAAAGGCCTTTCGCGCGATAAAAACTGATCTGTGAGTTTGTCCGCCAACAACAGGAAAACAGATCTTTGGCGAGTGGCCAAGTTACCTGGTGGCTCCGGTGCAGAGGTGCCGCCGCGCGTCGCGCCACGCACTCCCCCTGCGTGCTATCTCCACACAGTCGAGTCTGCACTCGCGATAAAGGGTTAACAAATTGCATCCAACTTCCAAGCACACGTCGCCGAATGTGGAAGCAGTAAATAGTTCCATGTTTGCCGGCGAAGTTTTGACTTCTTTCTCACTCGCCAACTGACGTTCTCATAATGGCTTTTCCGGAGGTAGGAACGAGCGTTTTCATTGTAACGCTCTGGCGTGCGGCCGCCCGCGGCGCCGCCTCGCCGCCGCGCCGCGCGGTCCGACTGCGTCACTCCTCAATTTGCTCCACCAATTGTCGCCATTTAAATTGTGTTCCTCGTACAATCCACGTTATTATTCTTTTATGCGAGCCCGCGCCTCGATCGCGACGTACAAAATTGTTTTTTTCTCTCGTCTATATCGGCGCTTATTTCGCGTTGTCTCTATTTTTGCAGGAGGCGGGGATGTAAACATGGTGCGGGGCTTAAAAGTGCGTCCTAATTTATTTGAGGCGCCTTTTCGGAAAACGTTTCAGCTATGGTCTTTTATCCAGTTGAACAAAGGATAATACGAATAAAAGCCAGTCGAGCATAATCGTACTTTCGTCGAGAGCTCCACGAAAGATAAAATAGTCACCACAATTTTCCCGGTAGAGTTTTTACCTTTCAGTGACGCGGTTTTTTTTGCGGGATTCAAAGCTGATTCAATAAGAAGTTACGAGCATACTTAGCGAGTATAACACTCGTGTGTACACTTACATACATGTACCGCGGGAGGAGGAATGTGTAATATTCGTAGTGATGTAACAAAAGGGGCGAGTTTGTTGATTGTTTATATTCGATTATCGCAAAACCAGTGGACCAATTTCGACGGCGCTTTTGTGAGCTCGCTTCTTAAAACATCTCAGATGATAATAACGGAGCTATCTGCATAATCAATATGAAACTGAATGAGATGAAGTTACCTACCAGTTTCTTTGAATAAACAATTTGTTTATTCTTGGGCGGCGACAGTTGGCTATTCGTTCGCCGTTCAAGTTGAAATCGGTCAAGTTTATAAAGCGTATTATAATGATTTATTCGGGATATTAGTGTGGGAAAGCGGCACCTGCCACTCTCAATATATCTAAAAGATCAACCCGTAACCGCATAACTGATTTAGTTGCAGAGCCAAGTTGGCGGGTTCGGGTGGTAGTAAACTCATAAAGGGCTCCATCAGTCGTCATTAAGCGGACATGACGCTGATAGGCGCCGACGAGACCCCGCGACCCAACCGCCTCGGGACCTACCCGTGATCGATGTACGACACATCGATACCTACTTCAAATTTCGGTAAAATGAATCTAAATTCCGTATACATGTTCTATTTACACATTTAGACGCAGCAGGTACTAACCAGCTATGATTATTTTGGTGTCAGAATTATTTGTAAATATCGTAGTTTTGTTAATATGATATTAATTGTCATAAGATTAAGCCACTAAAACCGTATTAAAATTTTAATTTTAAATATTCTACTATATAGTATTACGTACTCAATACCTAAATCTGACCTACCAAATCGATAGCGAGCATCGAGGAATATTCGCATCGTATCACACAATCGTTATTTGATTACACACCTTCGCGATTACCGCTTGAATCCCCCGGTCCTTCGTACCTGCGGGGAGCAAGATTGATACGACCACGGCCGCAGCCTCTGACGGGTTGTTATTGAAAAATTGAGCGATAATCCCGCAGCGACCAGCCCCTGTTTAAGATTTCCTTTTTTCCAACACATTTTTAATAATTCCTCTCCCATAATTCCAGTAAGCTTTATTTTTAATAAGTGATTGGATCAATGTGGTGGTCCTGGATTTTGGTCCTTTTGGTGTGAGATTATGAGTTTAGCGGCTCAAAGGTTAACGTAAATAATAATTGTTTTTAAAGCTATGTTTTCTCCTTTTTTTTTTGTTTATTGTATTTCCAATGCTAACCATGATTACGATAGATCAAAGGAGGTTTTATATCTGTCTGTTCTTATTTATTTATTTAACAACTTTGGAAGACTAACAGCTAACAAAACAAAAATTAAGAAACTGCGTGAGAGTCTGACAGCCAATGACAAGTCTTCACATATAAAAAACAAACGAATACTATAAAAGATTACTTAAGTATGCTTAGATCTTTAAAACAACGCAACAGATTTTGATGCGGTTTTTTTAATAGATAGAGTGATTCTTAAGGAAGGTTTATGTGTATAATACATACATATTGCACCCGTGCGAAGCTGGGTCACTAGTAATTTAATAATTTATTTTTGTTAAAATATTAAAATGTCTATTTTGCTTACAATCCATTGACGACTATATTAGCGAAGTTGTCGGCGTATCCTTCATATAACAGTCGATGTATTGTTCCAGGGTGCGCATTCGTAAAGTTCAGCTCGCACCAGGAGGCGCAGGCAGCCATCACGAGCCTGCACGGAAGTCAAACTATGCCGGTAAGCACGCAACCACATTATCAGACACCAAGCTATGAGCGATCGCGGTAGAAATTGCGGGTCTTATTATTTGGTCCGATATTTCGCAGCGGATTTAAATTTTATTTTTTACTCTGGAAAGTTTCTTCCATGTAACCATTGATCATCATAAGTTATAAAACAATACTTTAAAAAGGTAGATAACGTGAGATGATAATGATAAAAGTAGGTAGTTAACTGCAAATACGTAAACTTACCAGATAGATAATTTGTTTCATTAAATTGACTGAATGTCTGATAGGAACAATCCCGTAGAAGTAGTACATCTAGATAAAATATTTCTACCTATACAGGATTATGAAAAAGAATTCAACCCTGATTCACTTTAATAATCTTGAAGCAACCTTCAATAACTACATATCCTTATCTACCTAAGTACAAGGTTTCCGCCCTTATCTCCGAAGCGAACTATTTACAAACATTTCAACGGAAATAACTTATTCGTTTTCAATAAACTAGTCTTCGAAGCTACTTCAGATTTCTGCGTCACATTTTTATTAAACTTCCCTCATTTTTCCGTTCTCCGTCGTGCCAACAAATTGGTAGGAACCAACATATTTTGTTCATTTACTGCTTCAACCTACCAGTCTTGTTATGGTTTTAGTAACTCTACAAGTATTGAAAAGATTCTGTATTAATAGACTGATCTGTCTTAGAGTGTTCTCGGCTTCAACTAAGTTTGTTTTGAATAGGGTACTTTTTCACATGATAAACGGTACCAGGTCGATGGTTTTCGCCCCTTTAAAAAAAAAAAAGAAACGGTACCGGGTTTTCACATAGTATCAATATCTAAGTATCTTGATATCTGGTCTGATGCGTTCAAAAATAATGAAAAAAATGTCGTCGTCAAAATAATTACAGGCGTTAAATTCCCAGGATTGAAACTTAACCCTTTGAGTACCGTCATTATAGACACAAACTGTCAAACACCAAGCGGTCACCGGTGACCGCAACCTATTGTTCTATAATTGTGTCTACAAAACCGGTACTCGACGAGTTAAAGAACAGGTGTGCGGACACCGGTGTCCTCGCGGTGTTTGACAGTTTAAGACTGATTTCACTGTATAGCATATAAAACACATTTTTCTAGTACCTAAACACCTGCAAAGAATAACAATAGGTTCATATTTGTCACCCAAAATAAGCTGTCAAAGCCTAAACTAATGAATTTTCCAAAAAATACCATCCTTGTTCCCGCCTCCGCTTATATTTAGGCCTCGTCACATGTCGACAAAGCATTGAGTTATTCGCCTACGTATGTACGCTGATAGAATAGTTAGTGAACTAGTAAACAGAATGAACCCTGACTTCACGCAATCCTGATACTTAATACGGCTACTATAAAGATGGTGCTGATTTCGCATGAGACAGGGAAATACTCTATGGGACACATTATCTATAACCTGTGAAATAAACACAATACAATTAAAAACTACTACAGTTTTTTGTAATATGAAAAAAAAATAATAAATTGAGTATAATGAAAAAATATTAAAATCTTCTTTCTATAAAGTAACCAACATTTTAGATTGTGGCTATTATTACGTCAAGTGGAAGTTCGCACTCAATACATTAATCAAAATGTTTTATTTACTAAAAATTTTTACGTAATTTAAATGTCTTTATTTGTAAAGGAGAAGTCCTACCAGACGTTTTTATATCGGTGTAATATCTATCATGTATATGTTAAAGAAAGTCACTACTACTCCATTTATAATAGCGTAATTGAAATATATTACCAAAATGTTAGAGGACTTCGAACTAAGCTAGATAACTTCAGAAACAATCTTGAATCTTCGAACGCGGACTTATTTGCTATTACTGAGTCAGGCTGCAGTGAGTCAATACAAGACGCAGAAATTATTCCAGTGGGATATAGACTACTACGATGTGATCGAGCGGACGGGCGAAAGCAAGGCGGCGCGATTCTCGTGGCCACACACCGGTTCGAGCTGCGACAAATACCTATAACTGACGTGTCGATAGACAATTGTGTTTTCGAAATGATATGTGCTACGGTACATTTAAATAAACGTTTTTTGTTCGTGTGCTGTGTTGTCTATATTCCACCGGGTAGCTCAGAGACGGATTACTTGTTATTATTCGGAATTATTGAAAAATTGTGCGATAGGTATAATGAAGTGTTGGTACTCGGTGATTTTAATTTGTACTCTTGTCCTATTAACATTAATAATTATTACGAATGCTTTTTATCATATTGCGAATTCACTCAAACTAACGCAATACCTAATTGTTTGGGTCGGCAACTGGATTTGGTTCTGAGTGCGGGCATTAGCGGGGGAGTGACGGTGGGGGCGGCGGATCACGCGCTTGTGCCTGTGGATGCGCACCACCCGCCGCTGGCGATCAACGTGCGCTCTGCGCATGCTCCCGCGGTTTCGGCGGGCCCCTCCAGTGCGAGTAATATTAGTGCTTGCGATATTAGACCGAAATGGAATTGGAATAAGGCTGATTTTCAGTTGCTGTATTCTAAGTTGGTTTCTACTGATTGGAGTTCATTGTATGAAATGCGTGATTTGGAAGAAATGTTGAACTTCTTTTATGATAACATTAATAGTTTAATCAATGAATGTGTTCCACGGAAAAAACCTAGTAATCAAAGCTCACGATTCGTATACCCTGTATGGTATACGAGTGATATAATAAATAGTTTAAAAATTAAAGCCAGATTTCATAAACAATTCAAGAAATCCAAGTTGCATAGTGATTATATCAGATTTGCTGAGTATAGAACTTACATTAAAAAAAGTATAGAAATAGCACACAGAGAACACAGATACAAAATTCAATTTCAATTTAAAAAGGATCCAAAATCGTTTTGGCAATATATTAGGTCAAAAAAATCAACATTAAATAAGCATAGTATTGTAAGAGAAGGTCAACATTTAACGGATGATGAATGTGCGGAGCAGTTTGCAAATTTTTTTGAGTCGGTGTATAGCAAGGAGCCACCCGTACTGGACGCATGCGCGGCGTTAGCGGAGGCTGGCGCGACCAGTTCGCGGGTCCATATCGAGGCGCTAAGTCTGTCGGAGGTTCAGCAGGCGCTTGGAAATTTGAAACCGAAACGATCATCTGGTCCAGATGGTATTCCAGCGTTTCTATTTCGAGACTGCGGGAGGGTGCTGGCGGAGCCATTGCTACACATATTTAACACTTGTTTGGAACAGGCGAGGTTCCCCTCCAGGTGGAAGACCACGCGCGTTATTCCGGTTCCTAAAGGGAAAACAGGTCCTGATATTTGTAATTATAGACCGGTGGCGGTACTATCGACGCCTGCTAAAGTACTAGAGTCAGCTATTCAGCGTTCCGTGCAGGGGCAAGTGCGAGCATGTTTATCCGATGCGCAACATGGTTTCAGGCCGGGACGGAGCACTACAACTAACTTACTCAACTTTATGGTGCAGGTGGTGCCGTCAGTTGACTCTGGAGTTCAGGTGGATGCCGCGTACTTTGATTTTCGAAAGGCATTTGATACCGTTGATAATGATGTTTTACTGAGAAAGCTTGCGAAGGTTGGATGTACGTTGCCTCTACTACAATTTTTCGCTAGCTATATGAAGGATCGCCAACAGTATGTAGATTACAACGGATATGAATCTCATCCGTACTATACTAGGTCGGGCGTGAGCCAGGGTAGCAATGTAGGGCCTCTTGAGTTCATCATAATGATAAATGACTTACCGGAAGTTGTCAGGCATGGGAGTTGTTTATTGTTTGCAGATGACCTGAAGTTACTACTCAAGGTTGAAGATAGCTCGGATTGTGAACGCCTGCAGGATGATATTAATCGAGTGGTTGAATGGAGTAATGTCAACAGACTTCACTTTAACGTGGACAAGTGCTCGGTGATGTCATTTACTCGTGCTAGGGCTCCTTTGTGGCATCAATACAGGGTGAAAGGCGAGCCGATGCAACGAGTCTCACAGGTACGAGATTTAGGGGTAGTCTTCACTCCAGAACTGACATTTCGTGAACACATCAATAAGATCTGTAGGAAGGCATACAGGAACCTGGGCTTTGTACTCAGACAAACTCAGGGGTTCACCAACATCACGACACTCAGGGTACTGTATGACACATTAGTGCGGAGTCACCTCGAGCACAGTGCAGTTATATGGGCACCGCACGAGGCGAAATACAGCGTCATGTTGGAACGTGTTCAAAATAAATTTACAAGGCACTTGTATTTCAAACTTTATGGAGTTTATCCATTTTACCCCCTGATGTACCCTACTCTATTTGTTCTGGGTATGGTAGGGTACAACGAGCTAAGGGTGCGGAGGGACTTTGCGTTGGTAGCGTATGTGGTGAAGCTGCTGCGCGGCGTAGCGCATAATCCGGGGGTGCTGCGACACCTGCAGCTATGTGTGCCGGACCGTTATGTGTGGAAGAGGAGACGCCCGCCTCTCCTCGCTGTGCCGGCAGCCAGAACCAACTTACTAGCTAGGGCTCCTCTCACTAGAGCTATGAGAGTAGTGAACGAAGTCCATGAAAGGGTGGATGTATTGTGTTGCAATGTGAGTGAATTCGTAAAAGTTACGTTGTATATATTATGTTATTCAAATGTTAATTAAGATTATTATTTCATTACATTTTTTTTTTATTATTGTTATTTAGTAAGTAGTTCACCGTTGATCTCGTGACCATAAAGTCGTCAGTATTATCTCTTGTTTTATGGATAAATGTTAAGATTAATTAAGTTTGTGTATGTGTATTAGTAATTAGGCACATAGATTTAGTTTTAGACCTAAGCTATCGCAATGGAGAAAACTGTAATGATAGTTTTAGGTAAGGTTTTAAATAAATAAATAAATAAATAAATAAATAAATAAATAAATAACTCAAAAACGGCTAAATCGATTTGGATGAAAATTGGTGGAGAGGTAGCTTTTTTTTTAAGGTGGGAAAATCATCGAATAACTGCTCCCGCCTAGGTG